GGCCGCCCGCCCCCGCGCCGCACCTTGAGATGGGTGCGCAGGCCCCCTGCGCCCCCCGACTGGTCGGTGATCTCGTAGGCGCCCGTCACTAGCAGGTCCTTGTGGATCTCCTCGCGGAGACACTTGCGAGAGTTCACGGGCAGATGGAAGGAGATGGCGAGCACCGAGCTGGGGCCAAGCAGGAACAGAAGGAGCAACGCACAGGGGCGAGGGCCAGGCCAGGAGAGTGGGCCAGACAAACCAGACATGGTGCCGGAGCCTCGTTCACCACCCGGGGCCTCTAGCGCGCCGGAACCGGGGGGAACCCACGTGACTCGCCTCTGACCCAGCGATGCCGTCGGCGCCATTTTGGAGATTGGCTAGTAGAGCCAGACTGTGTAACAAATAATTTTTAAAATCGGGAAAGATCCGGTAGTATGTCATAACCATGGGCGTAAGGAGCTACAGAAAAGTTCTCAGAGATTTTTTTTTCCCGTACAAAGTTTTTTTTGTTGACGCGAAAGACCGCTGGGTGAGCCATAGTAAGTACGGGCAGCCCTGGAAGTAATTCTAGCTTAACCTCCCGGAAGTGGTTCAGACGCGTTTTAAAGTCGGTGACACCATAGCAACCAGGCCCCAATAAGGAACAGCCACAAAGCCTTTCTCTGGGCCCGCCCACCGGCTGCTTAGGCTGGGGCTAACGTCCCAAAAGCCAACTCTGGTTGCAGTCGGGACAGTGGAGCACTGAGGAGGAAAAATACAAAGCGAAGTTTTTATTTGGCTTTTAGTGCCTGTGGGTCTCTAACTCGGAGAAGCCTGTGTAGAGATCAACAGGTGCTTGCGAATTGACAGGTATCCCGTTAACGCCTCTGAACCCAGTATTCGGCCCGGTGTAACTTCGGTGTTCACAATGTACTTCTATTTATTTAAGAAACATCAGTAGTCTTCTGTGCTAAGCTATACTCTCACCAAATATTTAAATGTATGTTTTGATCCTGTCAGAGATGAGCATAAAATATTATTTACCAGGTGAGCATTGTCGAGAGCAGAAATTGTATGTTTCCAAAGCATGTTCTGTAACTTCCAAGTGGCTCATCGTAAGCTGATTCACATAGAAATCGTTCATTCGTTATTTGCTGTGTGCTAGACACGACACTGCATGCATAATGTGTTTGTTGGTGTACGTCGATGAAACTCAGTAGATCTAGCATCCGTGCCAGTGATGAAACAACCAAAGTGTTCCTTAGCAAAATAATTACTATATACTCTTTGTCAATTTCAAAAATATGTAGTGCCTGGCAAAATGGCACACCTTTAATTCCAGCATTTGGGAGGCAGAGGCAGCCATATCTCCAGGAGTTTAAGGCCAGCCTGATCTACAATAGTAAGTTCCAGGACAGCCAAAGCTACATAGTGAACTCTGTCTCAGAAAAAAAAAGAAAGAAAGAAAGAAAGAAAGAAAAGGAAAAAAAGGTTTAGCATCTTTATGTTACAGCCAAGTATTTAGAGCTGAAAAATATACAAAGAGCCGCACTCAGTACAGCATGCTTATGATCTCAGAGTTTGGGAGGCTGAGGAAGGAGGATGGCCTAGAGATTAATGCCAGCTTGGGCTATACAGTGAGTTCCATGCCAGCCTTGAATACATGCCCCCAAAACAGATACTTCAACACCTAAGAATAAACAGCAGCCTATGTGTGTAACCTTTATCGACTTGAATTAATGTTTCTTGAACATTAGCAAAAATAGGCAGAAGATGAACTGTCTGCCCTTAGCGATTTCAGTGGGTTTTGTTTGTTTGTTTAGTTTAGTTTAGTTTTTTTTTAAATGACTTTTTGTCTACCTAGTCTTTTCCTGGAACAGAAGTCTGAAAACAAAACAAACACAAGCATAATAGAGTTGTTAAAAGTTTTAAGATCTAGCAAATGCCATATAATATTTTATGAGGTGGCCACTTAGGAACATTCGGTTTGATTGTTTTATCCCTGATCGCAGATAAGATTGGCAGTCTGCTGAGGGCATGCTGACAATTTGCATAGGCTTTTCCCTACAGTTATTCTAACTCACAGCTCATTCAGGTCCTAGGAGTCCTCTGGCCATTAGCGCAAGATTTTCAGCCTGTAAAATGCCTGTGCATGTTTTTTTTGATTTCCGTCTCAACGTTTACACGATAGACTATACATTTTTAAATATCTTCACTGTTTTTTCTTTTTCTTTTGAGACAGAATCTTTTGATCTAGGTTGGCCTGGAACTTGTGGTGATTTTATCTCTACACCCCCCCCCCCAATGTGAAGGCAGGCATTCGCCACCAGACACAACCTGTTTTCACATGTCATTAATGATCTCATCTGATAGTTTCAAAACCCCTGTCAAATAATTTAGGCAAACATTTTCATTTTTCAGATAAGGAAACTGAGGATATGCGATGATAAGAAACTTGGGTAGTTTTAAAAAAGATGTTGGTGGCGCTGAGCTTGGAGAACTGCAATGCTTTACTCAAGGAAAGTGTGGAGCCAGATGCACATCACAGTGCTCTAAAGGGATTGCACGGTCGGGGAGAGAACTCATCTCAGCTCCTAAGGAAATATTTGGAGTGGGGCATTTCAGGTCAAACTTACTTAGCATTGTTGCTATAAGTAAACAATGCCCAGGCATAAAATTTCAAAAGGACCTAGTTGAGAAATAGTTCAGAATAGCCTGAATTTAGACTCTGTCAATATTCAGAATCCCAGGGGCCAGTGAGAGAGCCAAGGGTAATGTGGCACTTGTTGCCAAGATTGAAAACCCAAGTAGGATTCCTGGGACCCAATTGGTAGGAAAAAGCAACCCTCGGAAGTTGTTCTTTGTCTTCTACCCTCCCACACAGATCGACAGATGGATGGATGGATGGATAGATAAATGTAAAACAACACAATCCAACACCCTAAAAGTGACAAAGGACCAGGTGGGGAGGTGAGCACCTTTAATCCCAGCACTCCCAGAGACAGGCAGATCTCCGTGGGTTCAAGGGCAGCCTGGTCTGCACGTCGAATTCAAGGGCAACCAGATTGTCATGTGAAGACCCTGTGTCAGGAAAAAAAAAAGGTACAAAAATCAGAACCTTCCTCAGGAAAATACTACAGTATTTTGCAAATGGAGAAATTGAGACTGAAAGGTTGAATTGCTTCCTGTATTACACACAGCTCTTGAATCCTTCTTGTCCTGTAATCTCACTTACTTCCAGCCCCCCAACACTTTCTGTCATTTTTATTTCCCCTATTAGCTCTCACCGTTAATACAGCCCCCATTTTACCTTTTTATTGTACTTTCTTGTCTGCCTTTTTAGCACGGTGTCTTCTGTAAGGTGAGGATTTCTGTGTAGTTTGTTCATTGCTTTTCTCCTTAACCCCAAACAGTGCCTGCTACTTGGGCAGAGTAGATGCTGGCACAGGAAGGTAAGACAAGACTGGTTCACTGGGCAGTGGTAGCGCATGCCTTTAATCCCAGCACTTGGGAGGCAGAGGCAGGCAGATCTCTGTGAGCTCAATGCCAGCCTGGAACAAGAGCTATTTCCAGGACAGGCTCCAAAGCTACAGAGAAACCCTGCCTTGGGGAAAAAAAAAAAAAAAAAAGACAAGACAGGCTCTTGGCTAGGAGGCCTAACAGCAATGCTCTTTAGCCATTTCACACAGATTTACTGAGCATATGATGTATCTAAGCTGTAATCCTGACTTCAGTCTCACCACCGTTGTGCAGCCCCTTCTGCTTTTGCATCTTCGGGACAGCACTTCCATATATGCCCAGATGGTGTACTCTCAGTCCTCCTGCTTCCTCTTCCTGAGTGGCAGAATTGCAGGCACATTTCACCACCCTGGAGAGATGGCTCAGTGGTTAAGAGCACTGCCTGCTCTTCCAAAGGTCCTGAGTTCAATTCCCAGCAACCACCTGGTGGCTCACAGCCATCTGTAATGAGATCTGGTGCCCTCTTGAGAGACCTGGTCAGTTGTCCTCATCAATTTAGACCATGAAACCCAATATGGACAAGTTCAAAAGGACTAGCATATACAGGCTGCCATGCATGCTTCAGCATTGCCAGGACATAAATTTCATTTTTCATTTCTATCACATCTGACTTTTTTTTCCTTATTAGAAAGCGAGTCCATAGAAGGTCAGAGAATAACAACAATAACAAAACCCTGCCTCTATGCTGTGGAACTGAGGGCAGGAGGCAGGGCTCTAGGGAACCAAAACTTAGAAACTCTGCACCTGTATTGAAGAAGGTACCATCTTTTTTTTTTAAAAACAAAAAAATGTTATTTATATTCTATGTATATGAGTGTTCTGCATGTAAACCTGCATGCCAGAAGAGGGCATCAGATCCTATTATAGATGGCTGTAAGTCACTGTGTGGTTGCTGGGAATTGAACTTAGGACCTCTGGAAGAGCAGCCAGTACTCTTAACCACTGAGCCATCTCTCCAGCCTGAAGGCACCATCTTCATCTACATGAGGCAGAGACCTCATGTGGAGCTGGTAATGGACTGGAACGTGTGCCACTTTCAGAGCAAGTGTTTCTTCCTGACTAGCAGTCCTGGCCCCCATGTCTGTCATCCTGAAACAGACCTAGCCAGATAACCTGAAGTTCCTTAGCCACACAAGCCAAGGGTTAAGAAACACCTAGTCTAGTCTATCCCTAAGCCATAGTTTTTTCTTTGTTGGTTTGATTTGGTTTTTTGAGACAAGGTTTCTCTGTAACAGCCCTAGCTGTCCTGGAATTCACTTTGTAGAGCAGACTGACTTTGAACTCACTGAGATCTGCCTGCCTCTAGCCTTCTTAGTGCTGGGGTTAAAGGTGCACTCCACCACCGCCCAGCTAGCCGTAGGCTTTTAAACTCTTCTATAATAAGGAGCATGCTTAAAACACACCTCACTCAGACAGTGAGGCAGAAGCCCTTATTAAAAATTGGCACTTGGTGGCACACGCCTTTACTCCTAACACTTGGGAGGCAGAGGCAGGTGGATTTCTGTGACTTTGAGGCCAGCTAAGTCTACTTGGTTAAGTTCCAGGCCAGAGAGAATTATATTATGGGATGGAGAGGAGGCATTTGTAACAAGTTTGCTGGGTGATTCTGTAGTTGGGAAGCACATTAGTCCTCTCAGGCTACCCACTTTAGCCAGCTAACATTTCAGTGTGGCTTGAGTTTTGTGGGCACCTATCTATAAGGATCCTTGGCTTCCACATCCCTTCCCATTCATGTGTAAAGTCCAACAATGTATTTACATAGCGATACAAGCGGAAGATACAAAAGACCCCTTTGGAAAGCAGTTTGGCAGTATTGCCTTGTGTCCTAGCCTCTGACACAGTGACGAATCCCAAGGATCCCAGTGATGGGTCTTCTGAGTGATGGAGCCTTCGATCTGCTGCTGCTCTCTAGGTGGTATCTTCCAATCCCTGGGCTTTCAATGCATCTGCAGACCTGTAACTTCCAGACATGGATCTCTAGCCCTGACCTCTGCCCTAAGCTGCAGAATCTACACCTAGTGCCTGTCTCAAGAACTCCACTTAGATTTCTTGATTTCCCCTCCTTTGCCTCTCAAATCTGCTTCCTCCTCGTCTTCCCCCCACCCCCGCCCCGTAAACAGTGCCACCGTTTACCCAGTGCCTGAAACTGTCTCTGCTTCCTTGTCCATTCTTTCTCCACACACAGGCAGTTCATCAGCAGATCTGATCAGTTCTGGCTTCTAAGTAGATAATAATCAGTTTCTTCTCTCTGAGCCAGAGGCTGCAAACTCCTGCTCAGATAAGCAGGTCAGGCATGGGACCTTCTGGTTTGTATTGCCTAAGAGTTAAGAATGTGGATTTTTTTTCTCCTTTTTACATTTTTAGGCAGTTGTTTAAGAAGGAGGAAGAACAGAATGTGTGGCAGAAACCTGAGCTAGTTAATTACTATCTGATCTTTATGAAAAGTCCTTTGCTCTTTTCCCCAGCTGCACCCTCCTTTCTGTTCCCTCCATCTGTTCTTGTCATTCTCTAATCATATTCATTACCCTACACAAAGTGATTTTTGAAGTTTTTTTCTTCTGTGTGTTTTGCCTGCCTCTATGTATGTCTGTGCACCACATGTGTGCCTGGTGCCCGTGGAGGACAGAAGAGGGCATCAGATCTCTTGAAACTGGAGTTACAGTTGTGAGCCACCTTGTGGGGTCTGGATTTCAAACCTGAGTCTTCTGGAAGAGCAGCCAGTGCTCTTAACTGCTGAGTCATCTCCAGCCCCCAAAGTGATTTAAAACAAAACAAAACAAAACAACAAATCAGGTCAACTAGAATAAACCTAAGTAGTTTATCACAGCTCACACGGCTACTGCGGCCTCTCTCCAACAGTGTTCTTCCCAGTGTTGAGTTCCTCCCCATCCCTCTTGGTCACCCTTTTACAGTCAGCCAGCCTTGCAAACAGCTTATGCTCCAACATGCAGGTCCCCCTGGAGCCTTCCTGCTCAGGTCTTGTAGACTCTGAACGCTGCAGTCTCCTTCCAGAGAGCGCACCCCCTACATGTAACCCCACCCTCAGCTTACTTCCCAGCCTGCTCTTGTTCCATGACTTGCTCTGTGGCTGTCATTACCCTGTGTGTTTCTCATCATGTGTGTTCACCCTCACTTTGCTGGAGTTTAACCCCTAGAAGAGCAAGGGCTCTGTTTGGGCCAGGCATAGTCTCCTATAGATAAGTGTTCAACAAATATTTGCCTTAGATTGAATGAAATACTACAGCATAATACAGAGTGCCCAGCACATGATGGGCAGAGAACAGTTGCTCAATAAATGCTAGTTCCTCTATCTAGCAGCGTTTTAATTACCATTTTTCATATAGAGAAGCTGAGGTCCAAAGCTGTTAGGTGACTTGTCTGAAACCATACAATGAGTCAGAGCTGAAAATAGAAGTGACAATTTTCAGATAGGATTGTCGCCACACTAGATAAAATTTCATATTTTGTACTTAGTTCCCACTCTGTTGAGAAGTTTTATACTCGTGAGTAGCCTTTCTGTGCCCAAACTAACATTCATAATACAACATTTATGGTTCTCATATAAATATAAGTCTTCCAGAACATCCTCTGTGGTGCTAATAGTTACTGTTTAAACTTACAGCATCTCCCCTCAATTCATTTTGCTTGAAAAAAAATAAAGATTTATATTCCTCTTCAGATGCCATGGTAATAAATTCCTTTCTCGTGGTGCTAGGGGTTAAAGTCAGTTCCTCACATTTGCAAAGTAAGCCCTCTGCTGAACAACATCCCTAGTTTAGGGTGCTAAACATAGATGGGAAACATGAATTTCCCTCACCAGCTTCCATGGTGATCAATGTCTTTCCTCAGTGTAGTCTGTAGACAGCAGGACCCCACATGTGTGCTACAACCTACACACATCTCTCATTGCCAAGTTCAAAGGGTCTTTTTGTTTTTGTTTTCCTCTCAAGGCAGGGTTTCTCTGCATAGCTCTGTAGACCACGCTGGCCTCAAACTGAGAGATCCACCATCTACCTCTGCTTCCACCTGCTGGAATTAAAAGTATGCGCCACCAGCACCCAACCGAGATCAAAGCTGTAGTGGTATCTGTGCACTGAGATTATAAAACATCTAGATTTAACTACAAAAGCAACCCAACCCAGTGACTGTGGTGAGTGTGCTTATTTAATCACTGCACATACATTGTACTGCGTATGAAAACATCACAGTGTCCTTCCTGATTTTGCCTGCAGTTTTTTAATTCAGAAGAATTTTAGGGCTGATGTAAGCAAAAGATGCAAAATAGGCCTCAAAACACAAGTTTCAAAAAACAATCCCATGAGTTGAAAGAATGAATCTAGAAGAATCCTCCCTCTCCTTTTCTTTTCCTCCCTCCCTCCCTCCCTCCCTCTCTCCCTCCCTTCTTTCTAAGCTCTGTTTGCTGTTTGCTTTTGGACACCATTCCTAGAGCCTGGTAGAGATTTGGAGTCCTGGAAACCAGGAGGAAAAGCCCTATGGTAGGCCTGAGGTAAAAAGAAGTTCACTGTGCCAACATGAATAGAATAACTAAAGGACAAAAAAGACAGAGTCATGGGGACAAGGAAGTAGGGTGAGATGAGAACTGCAGCCCCCCCCCCCCATCTTGTGTGGACAGCCGTTCATGCCACAAAGAAGGAATAGTAACACCGAGAAAGACAAATAGGAAAATTGCCTTGGGCAGTAGCCCTGGAGTCCCCTAAGGCCTCCAAGGAGAAGTAAGACAGAGTCAAAGGGCATCTACTCCCAGCATCAGCAACACTCTCCACCTGGACACAGCCATGCCTGAAGTGTGCCCGTATGTAGATCCCCAGATGCCCTAAGATGATTACTGGAAGCCCTGGGACCACAAAGCTTGGTGGCCTGGAGTGGAAGACTGCACTGGTGATAACAGACCTTCATTCCTGCTCCGAGAAAGTCTGCATTTCCTCCAGTGCATCTGCCTTCCAGGCCAGTGGTAGTCAGCGTCTGTTGATGGATTTGTTATTTAGTTGACTTTAAAAGTTACATTTTCTTAACCAGGTGTTGTGGCCCATGTCTTTAACCCCAGCATTTGGGGGGAGGGGTGGCGGCGAGGCAGAGGCTTGGTCTATAGACTGAGTTCCAGTACAACCAGGGATACGTAGAGAAACCCCGTCTCGAAAAGAAAAACCCAAACAAACAAACAAGATAATATAGTGTGTGTGTGTGCGTGTGCACACATGCCATGGTGTGTGTGTGTGTAGGTCAGAGGACAAATGCTTTTACTCAGTGAACTACTCTGCTAGCCCAACTTTTTGTTTTTCAGAGCCAGTCTTGCTATGCAACCATGAATGGACTTGGATTTATGTCAGTCCTCCTGCTGCAGCCTCTTGATTACAAGGGCTGGGAGTCCAGGGGTATACTGCCTTACCAGGATTCAGATTATCTTAAAGCCTGCTAAAACACATTCTTCTTTAATGGGAGCTCATTACCATGAGAGACGGCGAACCACACAGGTTGAAAAGAAAAACAGCTTCAGGAACCTTGATGATGTCTGCTTCACTGTTGTCCCTTTATCTACTAGGCTGGTGTCTGCATCCCAGAACCACCCTGGCAGCTTTCAAACACTCCTGATGCCTAAAACCTAACTCAGAAGAACGAAAACAATATATGGGCATACCGCCTGGAATAATGTTTTCATCATGCCCTAACTGTGTTTGATCATCTGGAAACCTATTTAAAAAACCAACAACTTAATCCCAGCACAGGAGGGGCAGAAACAAGAAGATTGCAAATTTGAGATAGCCTGAACTACAAATTGAGACTTTGTCTCAAAAACCCAAACCAGAGCCAGTGAGATGGCTCAGAGGGTAAAAATGCCTACTTCCAAGGCTAACAACCTGAGTTCGATCCCTAGGATCCACCAACACGGTATAAGGAGAAAATCAGTTCCTTGTCTTCTGACTTACTCATACACACACACCCTATAATAATACTAGTACTTAGTAATTGAAAAAAAAAGAGTCACTCTATTGATATAGGCCTGAATTATAGCTACTCAGAGTCTGAAGCAGGAAGATCAAAATGGTAAAGGGGTCTGCCAGGCAGAGTGGTACATATCTGTAATCCCAGAATTTGGGGGCTATAGGGAGACTTCCATAAATTTGAAGCTAGCCTGAACTATATAACAAGACCCTGTCTCAAAGGAAATTATATACACCTTCATTCATTTAAGGCTTGCCTGGGCTACAGAGTTGTTTAACCTCATTTTGAGACTTTCTCAAAATAAAAAGTGAAAAAACGAGGTAGAGCTACATCTCGGCAATGGAGTGCTGGCGTAGCACGTGCCACAGGCTCTAGGTTCAGTTTCCAGCATACTGAGGCAGGCAGGTAGATAGACAGAGAAATGGAGGTTGATGCCTGACTTCCACTCCCAGGCTTTTGGTTGCGACTGGTGTAGGGTACAACCTGAGCATCATGGCTAAAAACGCCAAAATTTCCACGATCCAGTTTGATTCCGGGATTGAAAAGAAATCCAACTAGCTAACCCAGGCCCATTTCTGTTTTAGTCCTTAAAAATCTCCATGCCTTTCTCAATACAAATTTCCCTGTTTGGTTTACATCCTGTTTCTCCCGCTGAAGTCCTGCCACCCTTTCACCTAGAATGCAATGTAAAATTTGCCCTCTGGTAAGGAGAATGTCTGCAATACTAGCTGGAGGCCAAGGTTCATTTCCCGCTCCTGCAGGCCACTCACCCCCGGCTTAAGTGCTGGTGAGCCGGGAGGAATGGGAAGCAGGAGGGAAAGAGAGCCGAGGCCCCAAGGGAAGAAACCTTTTTCTCCCAGCTTGCAGAAAGCCGCGGTGGCACGTGGACAAAAAAGTATTAATAACCTTTGTGAAGACATACTTTACGAAGCTTCATGAACCACAGCCAGAGCTGTCTGTTCCACAGATGGCCAGCTTCTGCATTTTGAATGACAGCTTTTGAAGCTGGTACCGTTCTCATCCCTAAAGCAGAAACCCCCAACTAGAGGGAAGAAGTCATTCAAGTCTCTAGGCCAGAGGTCAAAAGCTGCCATTCATGTATTGGTCAGCGACAAAAAAAAAAAAAAAAAAAAAAAAAAAAAATCATTGGGTGTTGCCTTCTTTTGCAGCGAAACACCAGTGTCATCTGAAACAGAACTTTAGTGGTACGGGTTGGCCATAGCTCTTCCACTCAGCCAGATATTTTTGTGATCTAGATGGTGTTAACTTCCTTCTTTGTAACTTGTGAAGCCAGAGGTAAAGCCACGCTTTTCTTTGGCTTCTAACAAATCTGTTTCTAAACCAGGAGGGCTGACTTAACACACCTATAGTCCTAGCATTCAGGAGGCTGAGGCAGGAGATCAAGGTCGGCCTGGGCTACAGAAAGAGCTCAAGGTCAACTTGAGCTACTACCTTGCCTCAAAAGATGAAAAAGAAAAGAAAAAGACTTTAATCAGTTATTTTTTTCTTTTTTAAAGATTTATTTTTATATACAGTGTTCTGCCTGCATATGTCCCTGCAGACCAGAAGAGGGCACCAGATCTTATTACAGGTAGTTGTGAGCCACCATGTGGTTGCTGGGGATTGAACTCAGGACCACTGGAAGAGCAATCAGTGCTCTTAACACTAAGCCATCTGTCCAGTCGACTATTTAATGCTCAATCAGTAAATCCATAAATGTTTGTTGTTTTGTTGCAATCATCTTAAAATATATGCGTATATACAATAAAAGGCAATATAAAAAATATCCAAAGCAAGTCCCTGTACCTCAAGAGAAGAGCAGTAACAGGCCTACACAGGTACCACCACACTGTTCTGTCTTCCTCCTTTGGAGTGCAGAGTCCTGTCCGCCTGCAAGCAGTGACTTTCAGGGCTCAGTCTAATCTTGGTGATCTCTGCAGAGACTCTTGTGTGCCTAGGGTGCAAACCTTTGTACTAGTTCCCTAGGACAGCCACAACGAATAGTTGCAAAGTGTATGGCTTAAAACATCAGAAATATGTTCTCTCGGGGTGAGGAGGGATGCTCCCTCCAGCCTCTTCCATCTGCTAATGGCTCCGGGCAGTTTTTAGCTCCTGGCTTCCTCGTTCTAATCTCTGCTTCCATCTGCACGTAGCCTTTCTCCTCTTTGTACCTGTTCTTCGTGTACTGGGGACGTGTGTCACTGGATTTAGGACCTACCAAATAATTCAGAATGGTCTCAAGATCCTGCCCTGTCGGAGGTCATGAGAGTTTCAACAGGTGACAACTGGTGTTCAGAAGTCAACCCACCAGAGGGATGACTCTCTGATGAGGCTAATCCTGTCCAGACAAGGCCTGCAGGACCTTTGACTCTGAAAACCCTTGCTCACTTTTGCTAAAGCAGCTTGGTGTCTCTCTAATACCTGCATTGTAGCGCGCAATCTCCTGTGGTATGTAGATATAATCTTATGACTGCATCTCAATCTTATGGACACATATATCTGTGGGTGGTGAGGAAGAAGATGACTTTTCATTTAGCTGTGTACTGCACTGTTCACATCTCCAAAGACCTTATTTCCAATAAGGTCACCTTCACAGACTCTAGAGATCAGGGCTTCTACATATGTTTCAGGGGATACAGTTAACCCCACACACCCTCCAAACAGTGAAGAGTGGAGGGATAAAAATCTACCTGTCCTTAAGTTTGGGTGCAGGAGGTGTTACCTCCTGTCGCAGCTCCCCACTCGGTCTTCTTGTCCTCTCCATGCTTTTCTCCTTCCTCATGTCTGGACTGCAGGCATCTGACTACCTAAGGAGGACCAGCAAGATGGGTTAGCTGGTGGAGGTTCTGCACTCAGGCTGGAGACCTAGATTTAATACCATGATTTCATAGGTGGCAGGGAAGAATTGATCCCCAGGAGATGTCCTCTGACCCCCATATACAAGTACTGTGTCATATACATGACTGCACTCATACAGGTACACACACACACACACACACACACAGGAAGTCTATAACAGAATGATATTACTTATGGAGCTAGCTAAAAACAAAAAATACTAACTTCTGTCCATTCTGTGTCAGTCCCCAGTGAATCGGGCTTTCTGGAATCATACCTAGAAATGTGCACTTTAAATTGCATCCCCAGGAGAGTTTTTTTAAATATATACATTTTAGATTTCTATTTCATTTTATTGTGTTGAGTGTTTTTCTTGCTTGTACATATATGTGTGTGCCTAGGGCCCACAGGAGTCAGAAGAGGCCACTGGACACCTGGAACTGGAGTTACAAATGGTTAGGAGTCACCATGTGAGTGCTGGGAGCTGAACCTTAGTCCTCTGCGTGAGTAAGAAGTGCTCTTGACTGTTGAGCAATCTTTCTGGGAGGTTCTAGAGTATTTGAGGCGCCACCTGACCCTGTGCCTGTATTTTAACTTGCTAACATTTTAACTTGCATTACGCTGGTGGGAGGCAGGATTTAGGTATGAGGACCATAGAGTAAGAATATTGGAACTCTGTTACCCGCTAAATCTATCCTGTCACACACTTGCAATGTGACCTTAGCTTTCCTGAATTCGTTCTATGTGCTTCCTCACGTAAACAGAGATAGCTGGAATACCTACTTCCTAAGGCTGTGCTGAGAAATAAATGAAATAAAACATTTAAATGGCTTAGAAGAGAATCTGGCTCATAGTACGATCCCAAAAATTTTAAGCCGTCATGAAGCAGAAGAGGTTGAAAGTGGCTTATTTTCTCACTGTATTCGTAGGCCCTTCCCTCCCAGGAGGTTACTCTGATCTTTCTGTCCTCAGTGGTGATTAACATTGATACTATCTTATTTTTCCTTCCACACACTGTGCTTAGTTCTGTATGCTGGCCCTCCATATCTGTGGACTCAACCCACCATGGATGGTAAGTAAATACGTAAATGTAAGAGCAATTGCATCTGTCCTGGACATAAACACCTGTCCTTTCCTCTTGTCCTTCTCAAAACGATACAGTATAACAAGTATTTGTGAAACATTTGTGTTCCATCATGCAGTATAACTAATCTAGAGGTCATCTAAATTATATAGGAAGATGCGTTTTGTTCTGTGCAAATACTGTACCATTTTAGATAATGGACTTGACCATCCTCAGTTTTGATAACTGGTAGGGTCTTAGTAATGATTCCTCTAGATTTCTCTTCCTGCTTACAGCAATGGTGTAAGGTGTGTGGTGTAATCTTTCACCTAACGGATAAGGAAATGAGGATTGGGTGGTGTGATGGCTAAGCCTGGCTGTCAGCTTGATACAGCGGAAAAGAGGAAGCCTCAACTGGAGAATCACCTTCATCAAGCTGGCCAAATCTGGGGTCATTTCTCTACCTTGCTAATTGATGGAGGAGGATCCACCCCACTGTGAGAAGTGCCACCCCTGGGCAGGAGGGTCTGGGAGGGACCTGGCCTTGAGCCTGAGAGTAGCCAATGAGCAGCAGTCCTCTGGACTTCCGCTTCAGGCTTCAGCCTTGATTGAGTTCCTGTCTTGGCTTCTCTCCATGATGGGCTGCAAACTCTAAGATGAAATTTTCTTCCTTTTCTTCCCCAAGTTTGCTTTTGATCATGGTGTTTATTGCAGGAACAGAAAGCAAACAGGAACTAAAACAGATGGGCTGAACACCCTGCTCAAAATCTACAGCCAGAGGATCTGGAAGTGAGAACAAGGATCTGTTTGGGTGCCACCTCTGCTAGTGCCCTGTTCTTCTCTGTCACCCCAAAGGCTTTCTCTGCCCCCTTTGGCCCAGCCAGCTCTGAATCCTAAACTTCACACCGCCACATAGTTTTCTTACAACAGCCCCCTCCTCTGATGCCCCGTGCTTTCCATCACCCCCCTTGGTCTGCTCCTTCCTAACACAGAGGTGTTAAACCTGACCATACTTCTCCATTTTCCTGCGACACTCCTTCAAGTCCTTCACGTACCCTCAGGATCCTCCACATTCAATCTACACCCTCAGCATCTCTGACCAGAGGCCCCTGACACCAGCTTTCCAGCTTGTCTTTCCCGTGCCCTCAGGTACTCTCGTGTCTGGTGAGAAGCTGCCTCTTCATTTCCCCTCTCTCTAGCTCCTCTGGTGGAAAGAACCCACAGTCCTAAATGCCAACAGTAGCCAAACAGCGTCTTCTACTACATCCAAGGTCTCGTGACCACCTCTGCTCCTTCCTTCCAGTCAGGACACAGTTTCACCCGCCCCCCCCCCCACACACACCCCGTCCCCTGTTGCTCAGTGCTCACTTTTTCTCACTGGCTCAGGGCATCGGGCTTTCCACCAGGCACACAGGCCTTTCTTATCTCTGTGCAAATACGCCCCTTTTCTCCAGGACTGGTTCTCACCCAATCAGTAATCAGGGTAAACTTCCTTTGACAATTTACTGAACAAACATTTACTGTGTAACTGCTCTAGGTCGGGTTCTAGCCAGGTCTATAAGGAGACCAACCCCAGCCTATGCCCTGAGGTGTCTCGTTCTGGCAGAGAGGAAGTACTGACGCGGATGTGTGTTCGATGCTCTGTGGTGGCCCACCTGCCTTCCCCCATCTTGTTTTTCCTCCTTGCTCGAATTCTTATAATGGTGCAAGCTGGTTACCCTTTCAGACCCTGCATTTCCTTAGCTGTGTGTGGGAACAATACTGTGTAAGTTTGTTGTTGAGGATTAACAAAGAAGGGTGTGGCAGGGCACCCAAGATAGGGACATTAGCCCCAGGAGCCAAGAACTGGTGCCACCGTTTGGATATTAACCACGAGGTTTCCACCTGCTGGAGGGCCAGCCTACCAGACAGTTAACAGATGGGTTAAAAAGCAATGTGTTTGTCTGTGTTTGGGGTAAAGGTGGAGACCGCAAGCGAGGCAATGAAACACAATCCCCTTAGTTAACTGGGCGTGCGAGTGGGCAATGATGTGATTAGCTGTAATGTATCTGTGCGGGACAAGAAAACATTTCAGATAAGACTGTGTCCCAGATAAATGCTAATTCTCTGGGTAGTCTGTCAAGGAGAGATGACTGCAGGCCCGGAGTAGCTGGGAAATTTCTCACTGTTGAGGAGTCAGCATATAAAACCCCAGAACCCCAGACAAAGCAATCATCAACACCTGAAAACACAAAGTGAAAGCAATTTCTCCTCTCCATCTCTCCTGCACAATAAGTGACCGAAGTGGCCAACCTCTAAGCGTATTGCTTGGTTCTTCCTTCATTCTCCGGCCGGCCTGGATTTGCAGGGAACATGGGAAAGAAAAAGAGAGATGGGGCCAGAAAAGGCTGGATGGTTGAGTTTGGTGGGCACAGGGCTATAATCCAAATTTCTCTGCAGACTGAAGCAGGAGGGACACAAGTTCAAGTCCTGCCTGGGCTGCGGAGCAAGCTCAACTTCAGCTTGAACTTGTCCTTGTCAGTGAGACCTTGTCCTGAGATAAAAAGTCAGAGGAAGGAGCTCATGAGTGCCCACCTCTGTTGTAGGATATTTGTTTACACCATAAGGTGTGTCTCAGCCTAAGGCACCTTCTGATTGGTTTAATAAAGAGCA